AAGACAAAAGAAGTGAGACGAAAAAAGAGAAAAAAACACAATAGATGACAAATGAAAGACAGAAGACTAATGACGCGAGAGCATAGATGAAAGGCGAGAGACAAAAGATAAAAGATGAAAGTTAAGAAACGAACAACAAAAGCCTAAAGACGATAGAAGAAAAATGAAAGATGAAATAGGAAAGACGAGAGACGAACAGCTACAGACTTAAGACGATAGATGAAAGATGAAATACGAAAGACAAGAGACGGAAGTAGGGAGACGAAAGACGAAAGACGAGACGGAAGATAGGCCAGAAGTGAGTAGGCGGCGCGTTTCAATTTGAAAAATGGCTTGCCTCAGACCACTGGGGCAGGCAATAACACCGACACAAACCGCCACCGCCAGCCCCAGTGCACAGTGTTCCTGCCGGCGCATAAACTACTGAACACGCATAGACAGAAGTGGGTCCGACGCATGCACACAAATACACACAAGACACAGGCTCGAGGCCGACAAGCAGAGCAAGCAGGAGAAAAAGCGGCAATTAGAGGGTGATTCATCAGATTCATCGTTCAAGGCCAGGCGCGAACGAACCGGCGGTGAGGCTCAGGCCAGTTTGGCGCTGTCCTCCCAGCCGACAGACACACCGAAAATGTTGTGTGCATTTGCTTGTGTGTAGGTGTGCGCCTGTGAAAGAGGATGAAGCATGAGCGTCGCCCAAGTTCGACTTATCGATCGGAGGGTACAGGTCCAAGTGATCACATTTTCGATTCATCGCACAACCTCGTAGGCGCATAGCGTCATTGTGTGTGTGTGTGTGTGTGTGTGTGTGTGTGTGTGTGTGTGTGTGTGTGTATGTATGTCTGTGTCTGTGTGCGGGTGCACCCAATACTCTTGATTCTCCTCTCAATCCCTCCGACAGACGATTGCTCACACACTGGCCGGGCGTTGCACAACAAATGTCACAGCGTCTGCTCGGCTTCAAGTCGAAATCCACTTGGGCGAAAGGCCAGGCCCACTCGGCTGAAAGGTGATTACAAATGAAGACAACTACCGAATCATGAGGTGATGTCAGACGCGGAGAGACGAGAAAGAAGAAGGACAGCGAGACAGAAGAGAGAGAGAGTGTATGCAAATGCATGCAGACATGTGAGGCAAACGGATGCCTGATGGGCCTATTAGAGGATAGCGGTGAGAATAGGCCACTGGCGTTAGGAGAAGGAGTAAGCAGCACGTGGACCTTTCGTCGCCTCTTCAAACTAAATGAAAGATAGAAGTGTGTTGACCTCGTTGTGGCAACTTGGTCTTGTTGTCCGGGCGACTTAGGAGAACGCACCTACTTTTCGGCAGAACGTTTGTCGAGGGATTGACTCACTGATGATGCCGACTACGATGCCGGTGAAACGTTTGAGAATGTACCAAGTCCACTGTCTGATGCTGGGGATTATGACAACTATTATGGCAGAGGATTTAGGACAAGGTGCGTTCTGCTAAGAATCCCAGACAACAAGACCAAGTTGCGAAAACGAGGTCAACCCACTTCTACAAATCGAAAGGAGACTGCGACCATGTCGGAAGCCACACCTTCTTGGTCATCATACCATAAATGAAAGGTACAAGAAACAGCAACTTTTCGTTTGGTTTTGCGTGAAAAGTTGGTTGGAAGGAGTTCATCAAATGGCCTCCGGATGACTTGAAGTTTGGAGAGACCGGTAGAGCTTGGATAAAAATAGTGTTCACCAAAGTTCGTTTTCCGATATTTCCCTTGAATTTACTAAAAGGTATCCTGGGTTACCAGGGTGGAATGCAGTTCCGACCTCACTTGAACTGGTCTCATCAGGGTCACGTTCAACCCCAACGGGACTCGAACCTGGGTTGCAGTAGTGCAGCGGCAACCACTACGCCAGGCTGCCACGAGTGTCCGGGGTCAGAGGGGAGAAGTAAATTTCAAGGGATTGTATGACTTTCCGATATCACATTTCCACGATGGGATTGTCGACGAAGCAAAGTTTCATTTGTTATTACAAACGACTACATTACTTACTTTTGAGAGTACTAGGCAAGGTCGGCACTTCAGTCCATCCTAGATGAGAGTATCTTTTAGGAAATTTAATGGAAGCATGAAGACTAATCATATTATTGTGGTGAATTGAACTACAAATCCTTCATCATCCTAAACGAAATAGGATAAATACAGCTCTCATTTGGTGAATTTTGCATTAAAAACGATGTCTTCACAGGATGAACTAAAGCTAGAAGTGGATCGGCCTCACCGTCTCAACTTGGTCGTGTTGTCAAGGCGACCTAGCTGGACGCATCTTGTCCGAAGTCCTCTGCTATGGTAGTTATGATAGTTCCCGGAGTAGGACTGTCGACTTAGTACATTCCCAGACGTCCCGTTGGCATCGTCAGTGAATCTTGCAATTATCAGCGCCAAGCTACACCCTGTCAGAGACGACTTTACTTGAATAACGCACTGACGCTGCCGGTGAAGTGTCTGGGAATGTACCAAGTCCATGATTCGACGTTGAGGATAATCAAGACTGAAATTTAATGGAAAAGTATGGTCTATTTAGATCATTGTGGGAAAATTCAACTACCAGTTCTTCATCATCTTAAACTAAAATGGAGTGAACACACCTCATATAACTCTTGATTCTGTCTGCAAAGTGACCTGACGGACACAACTGAAGGAGAAGATTTGGAAGAGTGAACGACACGTTTAGTTCAAAGAACAGCAGACCAGGTGAGATCACTCTCGTCTGTTGGTGAGATCGACCTGAGAACCTTCTCCTCACACACACCTTCGCACGAGACGTCGGTTGGCTTAACATTGAGATAACATAAATTCATCGAAACCCCAGCATGGGATTCCCTCGAAATTGAAGGTCAACCCAGCTTTTATTCATATCTGCAAAGTGGTCGCGTCATTTTGTCTTCGAGGCCGAGTTCAAATACCGATCATGCAGTAGGAAAAATTCAAGACTAAACCCACAAGCAGAGGATGCAAACAACCTAATGGGAATGGAATTGAGCCAGCATTATGGCACCACAAGACGCAGAAGCTTGACTATCGGATGCATAAAACTGGTGAGGCCAGTATGAAACATTCAATATATTCATTAGTATACTTTTTTCCATCCCAGCGTTCACCAGGGATCGCTAGCTATGAATTTCTATCTTTTTCACCCTTTTTACTACGACCGTTCACTTCCACATAGACAGTCCCCATTTATCTATCTATCCTCTATCTTGTTGGTTATTCTCGCCCAACTAGAAATGTCCACTGCATCCCTGATCTACTCTTTACTGTTAGTTTTACAGAATTCCTCTGGTTATTCAAATGAATGCTATTCAGGGCAATTGGCTTCCCTCTTCTAGATATTTCCGTTCCCACGAATCTGCAGAAGTTGGTGCTCTTTTATTTTTGGTTGGACTGTTCCAACCGTTTCTTCAATGTCACTTTATTAGAGCATACTCTAGCTAGCTATAAATTATGCATCATCACTTGGTGAGAAATTAGGTTGAATAGAGTTCTATTTTTACTCAAAATTACACGAATATAATCTTTCTTTAGGATAAAACGGAATATCATGATTATGCCGCATGACCATACATACAAAAATCTTTTCTTTGGGAATATTCATAGCTCCATTTAATAATTACTGAACAGTATCCAAGCCAGTCTGTCTATCTCTTCGTTCGATAATTCTGTATTCGTAAAACTATAATTTAGTATAATCTAAAGTATGAAGACCAAGATTGTGTGGCTTTTTGTATGGTCGCAGTCTCCTTTCGTTGTACAGGACTTGTTTGACCTTGTTTTCGCAACTTGCCCACATTGGCAGGAAAACCAAGAGGAACAAACCTTGTCCACAGTATGCATGATAATTTTCAGAGTCGGGCCGTGAAGTAGGTGCGTTCCTCTAGGTCTTTTTACCAATATGACCATGTTGCGAAAACAACGTCAAACAACTTCTATGGAATTTGGTATGCTCAGATTTCTGACTACCATAGCCTCCGATCAGTAGATATAGTTAGTTTAAAAGTGGATATTGATTCTGAATGGAATTTATTTCTGAGAAGCTTCCTTTCAAACGTAGCCTAAGTGATAAAAATGTGTAAAGCCACGAA